GATAGTTAGCAACATTGTTGCAGACGCCCGCTCAGATTCGATCCGTCAGTTTCCTAGACTGTTGTGTTGAAATCGCCAGTACGTGATCTCAGTAGACCGATATACTATCTTTCCCAATAATTGTCCTTTTCTCAATTTCTCTTACTTTTAGATATTTACACGCGTCATGCGTGTGTGAAATATAATATAAAATAATTGTCGTAATCATCTTCAATGAAGAAACTTTATATTTGAGTGCAGAACTCATATTATTAAGATTTTCTATTCGAAACCTTTTGATATCCTATTGCCATTCGTTTATACTTTAATTACTTAAATAGATCGTTTGTGTAATGTTGATATCGCTGATCGTAGTATAGGCCTAATGGGGACCCGCTACGTTAAATAATGGGAACGTATCGACTGCGGCACCTCTTGGGTGATGTGGAAGCCCGCAGGTTGTCGTTGTTATGCCTTTATTACAATAAGATAAATAAATTAATTGGATATACTCTTTAATCTGTTAATCCCATTTGCAAAAGCATATTTTTTTTTATAAAAAAAATGCTCTCCATAAAGGGATCTCGAACCATAGACCTCCCGAATCGTAACCGGGTGCACTAGCCAGACGCCAGAAACATGTGTATGTTTTACTTGTTTCGGAAGTTGTATTTCCAGAATTTGATCGTTTATTTAACTGCTTACTATTGTCGTTTCGCTTACTTTACATATAAGCAGAATAATATGAAGATGCACACCAGTTAAAAAATTTCGCGCCACCCTTCTCCACGTGAACGAACAATTACAGACAGAGATAATGCTCATTTCCATATTTGCTTCTTAAGATTATTGATTCCAGGAAATGAAGTGAGCTAATTATTTTCTCATAGTAAATCTTATTGAGTTTACACTGGACGCTGCAACTGAAGATTGCAAATAAAAAAGTATTTATAAGATTATAAGAACCAGCGGCAGCAGTAACAGCAATAGCAGACCCCTCAGCGAGAGAGGATCCGCAATCGCTCAAGTCGCCGGTCGCGCGGCACGAGCGGGCGTTTAAAATATTAGTCGATTCTGTCATAGATAAAATTAAAAAAAATATATATAAACTTAAAATAAAGTTTGGGCAACCTAGAAAGGTTAAAAGAGAGGAACCTTGAACAGTTTTTATAGTAAAATAAAAAAAAAGAAGATGAAAAAAGAGTTCTTCATGGGGGATCGAATCCGTAACCAGCAGCGGTATATCTTGACAGGTTATTGACTCAGCCACGATGTTCCTTTAATTCTAAATTAATGTTTCTATATGTAGATATTTATCTATGATATTTCAAAATTTCTCTTTAAACTGTTCTCGGTCGTTTCATTTACCAACGAATTTCGCCATTCATTTTTTAATGTTCATTTTCGGCATGATAAGAGGTAAAGAGTGAAAACCAATATTTCTATGCATTTTTTATAACTTTGAAATTTATTTGAATATACACATTTGTTTGCGCATTACGTCCATACAATTGTCAAGAACGGTTTGTGAGGGGCGGCAACTTCTTCCCCACCACCGAGCAATCCATTCATTTCGCTGACTGCAATATCGGCTGGAACGATCGATTTAACGCCATGATTTTGGTATCGCCTAAAACCGGAGCGTTGTGCATCTCCCCACTCATCTCTGGTTGTGCATCTCCCCACTCATCTCTGATAAATATCTGATTGGTTCCTAACAAAACTGTCTGCTGGATGACCGTAAATATTTACTTTTCGGAATCAATACGCAAACGTTTCGGGCTGCTTAAATAAGAGAACAAATTCAGCGCTAACTAAATAAACGCCCTTAATAATCGATCAGTAAAACCATGTAAAATATTGTAGAAATAACAAATTAGAACTTCGACCATCATACTGGGCAGCCTTAGGCGCATCAGTTTAGTAATCGGGTCTCTTCAGACCGATGGCTGTCATTCGGTCTGTCATCAAACAAAAATGGCAATGCGAGTAAGAATTATTAATTGACACGACATTCTGTTTGCATAGTGTAATTAAAAGTAATTAATTACAGAATATGAACTCTTGAACTGTCACGCCAACTGCATTTCATAACCTCTTCAAACAGGTGCACCATGTAGAAAATGTTGTACTGTCTTCTTATGGTACCTTAGTAAGGATTCTTTTAAGAGAGGTCCTAATACAGGATCAGTATTCGGTAGGAAATATAAGTTTATTCAACCCTGATTATTTTTAACTCAATTAAAATTCGAGATCTTACAATTTAGAATTGTTTATAACACTTAGCATATGAGACTGAGAAAGTTTTTTATATATAGACATCAGTACCATCTAGTACTCCTGGACCAAAACACGGACCAACCATTTAGGGCCCCAATAAATAATAAACATGAGTGGCCACCTAAATATTACTGTAAGACCAGAGTTACGTCTTGATACAAAATGGCTGAAGATGGATTTACAACGTTTCCTATGTCGGGATGGTCTTGCCGACTTGTGGAATGAGATGGTACGAGATGGAGAGATAGTGGGACCTTTCAGTGATGGCTTGGTTAATTCAGCAGGAGTGATTGCAAGGAAAGGTAGTCACAAAGCTTGTTTTTCGTTTAATCTTCAGCATTTAAGATATATCTATCCCATAGGAGATAGCGGACATTACTATTGCAATTTAAGAGTGTTATCTTGTCTATGTTGCGATGGTATCTGTGGACCGCAAAGTGGCTGTAATTGTGGACCATGCCAAAAGTTAGATACAGAGGAAGCTGCAAGAATAACATTACTTGTCGAAAAAATTGTGCCTGCACAAACAACAATAGATTCCTGGCTGTGGGCACCACAGCCTTGTATGTTAAAAAAAACTTATAATTAAATTAAATAAGACAACCCAGTTAAATAATTGTTAACGAACCTTACAAATCTTCCAGCTGAGGAGGACCTAACAAGTTGTATTGAATCCTTGATAAAAGAACAAAGAAAACTCTGTCACGAAGTAGCCAACAGTACTCTCTCTGCAACAAGATTAAAACAACGCATTGTAGTAGCAAGGAGATATTTCACAGCTTTGTCGCGTCACAAGCCACAAGAGACAAAAGAGATAACTCCACAAAAAACAGCAGTGAAAACTCCAAAAATGTTTGTTAAATTTGAATTATTACACGTCTATAATTAACGAATGATTTAATGATAAATCTCATTTATCATTTCAGCGTGAAACCAAGTGAAAAAGCTACAGTCGATCTAGCTAGAGTAGGTTCTAGAGCAGCCCTTAACTTTTCATTTGCATTTCTACGACGAGCCTGGCGTTCCGGGGAGGATGCTGATCTCTGTACTGAACTACTCACCGAATCCTTAGAAGCTCTTCAATCTCTACCGGAAGCAACACTGTTCGACGAAACTAACGTCTCCAGAGTCTGGCTAGACGTTGTCGAAAGATCAGCTAAATTTTTACGACAAGTTGTCACCGGGTAAGTATTCTGGTCAACACCTATATTTTAGAACTTTTATGCGTACTTATTTATACGTAATAATATTTCATTTCTAGGGATGTGGTCACAGGAAGATCATGGTGTCCAGTTCCAGTGGCAGATCAGCACACAGCCCTATGTTTACTACTGGAACTAGCAACTCAAAGAGGAACCTTGTCAAGTCTTCTAGATTCCGTGATCCTGCTCCTGCACCTCGGTGGTAAGGCTAAGAATCAGGACAACCGTGTAATGCCACCGGGTAGTTCTGCACCGTTAATACCATTGCTACGTAGACTCGAGTCAATTACAGTATCTAAATCAAGACAATCCGAGAAGAACTTATTGCCGGGGCCTTGCGAGGTTCTATTGAAATATTTGAGACTTCCAGAAGATGATGCGGTAGCCGTCGACCTGAGAAAAGCGGCCGTTGTGATTATGTGTCACCTTAGCCGACTAGCTACACCACTTCTGCCACCTCATGTGGCGGGAGGCTTCAACAAAAACCATGCTCAGATGTATCAAGAGGTCCTCGCTTGGGGTGGCATAAAACTAGGAAACGGAAAATCTCCACTTCATTGTGAGGCAATAACTGAACTTGGCGTAAAGCAACTGTGTTGCACAGAAAAAGCGTTAATGATTTTGTCTTTGAACGGCAAGATTTTCATGATGTATTATGGCTCTGAGGCTCAGTATCCGCAACGTGTTCACGGATTTTCGTCAAAACCCGTGACAATGATCGCTTCTCATCCTGATGGAAAACACTACTTGGCTTTAACTCAAGATAACCTGGTCTACTCATGGGGTAATGGTGATGGCGGCAGACTTGGTCATGGGGACAACACGTCCTATGATGACCCTAAAATCATTGAGGCTTTATCGGATAAAAATGTAAACTTTATTGTATGCGGTAGTACGTATTCTGCTGCACTCACAGTCAATGGTGACTTATATACCTGGGGCCGCGGAAACTATGGAAGATTAGGTCATGGAAACTGTGATGATGTTACTGTGCCGACCTTGGTATCGGCTCTGAATGGACACAAAGTTGTTCATGTCGCCTGCGGAAGTGGAGACTCGCAAACTCTTTGTGTAACAGCGTCTGGCATCGTCTTTTCTTGGGGTGATGGTGATTACGGAAAATTAGGCCGAGGAGGTGCGGATGGTTCGAAAATACCCAAGATTGTAGACAAGCTTCTTGATATTAATGTTGTTAAAGTCTACTGCGGTGGGCAATTCTCAGCAGCGCTTACGGCCTACGGTGAGGTGTATACTTGGGGCAAAGGTGATTCTTATCGCTTAGGCCATGGCAACGAAGAGCATGTTAGATATCCCAAGATTGTGGAGGCCCTCAAAGGCAAAAAAGTGATTGATTTATCAGCAGGAAATATGCACGTATTAGCATTGACCGAAGATCAACTGGTCTATGGATGGGGAAGAAATGATTATGGCCGAATCGATTCATCGTTAGAATCAACAGTGACCAAACCGACCTTGTGCCCAGCTCTTACGGGTAAGGGTGTCGTTGGCTTAGTGTGTGGTGCATCTCAGAGCTTCGCCTGGTCCATGCGTTCCACCTGCTATGTACCAATCAGAGCAGCCTTCGTGATTGATATTTGTGAAGATACCTTTAAACTTCTGGATATGCTACTAGCCAAGTCTTGTGAGGAACTACCAGGAACACGACCACCTACTCAAGATCGCGAATGTCTGGCAGTTGCAACATTAAACCTTCTTCGACTTCAACTTCACGCTATGATTACACATAATATTGAAAATAAATCGGTCGGACTCGGTTCTTCAACATTATTAAACTCTCTGAAGCAACGCTGTGTTGCTCTGGCCAGTGGAGCTGGGATCCTGGCCACCATGCAGGAAGCGGCCCAGGCTGTTCTCCAGACTGGTTGGAGTGTTCTGTTACCCACAGCAAACGAACGAGCCAAAACTCTCTCAGGACTCCTACCGAATTCCAACAGCATGGACCAATCTAATACCAACAAAGGTCAACAGTTCATGGCTGATCTCTTGGTTTCAAGTCTGATGGCCGACGTAGGTTTGGAGTTGGCTCTGAAGGTAGCTATCAACACTGAAATTACAGATCTGTCTGATGAACGTGAGCTTCAAGTACCATCTAATACTATGAAGGCTGGCGAGGTCAAGCAGGCCAAAGAATTTAATTCTGAGAAGCACAATGTCACTATACCACTTCTGCAACTTATCAAACAATTGATCAGAAATGGATCTTGCGTTACCCAGTCAAGATTTCAGAGTCTGCACCATATTACTCGGCATGAAGATTCGCAAAAGGTGGACGATTCGCCAAGTCTGAGTTTGCTACTTAGGTTTCAGCGCCTCTTAGTCGCTCAAATCTACCATTGTATAAATAAGTCTAGTACCAATGAACCTCAACAAGATCAGGAGATGCTGGGGGCTGAGTCCCTCCTAAAGAAATATATTTGTCAAATATGCAACCATGTAACTGAAATCCTACCAATTGCAAGTGAGATAGCTAGTGGCAGCGACAAAAACTTTGCTTTAGTCGCATCAGTTCTTAAAGGAGATATCATCAACATTCTCCTACCTGAATTGGTAGTGTGCTTAATCTTACTCCAAGTAGACTACCCTATGTTATTGCTAAATATGAACTGGATGGAAATGTTCACACCAGTGTTGGATACCCTAGACCAATTCAATAGACTTGCACCGACCGTGGAGAAAGAGGATGCTGACGACTTATCTTGGCCAGGTATTATTGCTCCTCAGCACGCCAACAAAATGCCTGTTCAGGATGAACCCAGTCTGATTAGGTGGGCCGATCTTGAGAATCACAATCGCGATGGCGGTCTTTGGATCGTGATCAACAATAATGTTTATGACGTCCAAGACTTCAGATACGAGGGTGCAACCAATACATCTTCCGCTCTTGAAACTTTACAAAGGATTACGGGCAGGGACGCCATTTCGTCCTTGATCAACGGACCTCAATCACATCTTAATCAGGGTATGATGGACTCCTGCTTTGTGGGCCATTATTGTCAACCTGAACAAGAAAGCACACAATTTACAATTGAAGTAGCTGATGTTTGTTTATCATTGCTTGATATGGAACGTGCCCTGAGTTTTCTTTTGGGTTTACATGCATGCAGATTGAGACAAAGTTTACCCCTTCAACCTGCAGAAGACGAAGCTGGTACGTGGCTGAATGCGAATTTCCTACGCGGTGGGCTCCAAGTACTCCAACCACCAAACCCATTCGAAGAAGAGAAGGGTGAAGCAAGAAGCAATAACTCTACAGCTGCAAATTCGCCGACAGAGGCTCCTCTGCCAATTTGTACAAAGGACGAAGTTCACAAGCTGACTCAAGATAGGGTCACAGCATTCATTCAGGCACTTGCTGAGACTCATAAGAATGATACTTACGTTCAAACCTTCTTGGCTATCGTTGATAGGTACGTTAAAGCTAATAATCTTTTGTCTCATGTCGATTTTTGTGGAGATCATCCGTTAGAAGAAATTGGTCGACTACTCATGGCTGTTATTATCAAGCACCTTGCACTGGGTTACCAAACTATCGCTTTGGTGGACAAAGAACTTACTGAAGGTAATGTGAAACTCACCAAACCTCTGGCAGATATGATCAAAGCTATTCATCAGACAAAGTGGAATTTGATAAAGACTAGACAACAACAAAATAGAAGCTACAAGGAGGTGTGCGCCCCTGCTCAAGAGAAATGTCGATTCCTACTTTATGAGGTTAGACCAGCAACAAGCTACGAGGTGAAAGGTCTTAAAAATTTAAAGTTGTTACATACGGTTCCAAGGCTAAAAAAAGCGGCGCAAGCTGTGATAGTCGATTTACGCAAGAATAAAGATTCACCGGCCAAACCAGAAGACATAGTCAATGCTTCCATTCAAAGTGCAGAAGCCAAGAACAAATCAGATGAGGACACAACACCAAAAGATACTCCAAATGGAACCATGGCGCCTAAACTGGAAGATGTTACTAATGTCACCAATGCTATAATGCAATTAGCAGAGAAGATCAAATGCAGACCACTTCTTATAGACTCTAACGATCTCACTGCGAGTATTATAAATTTCACGATTGCTGAAGATGGTGCTGATATCGAGACGATTCGTCGAGCCATATACTGTCAAGTTCAGAGAGTAAAAATGCGAGAGCAAGGTATCATCATGGTTCAGGATCTTTTAAAGAAGGACTACTTGATAACTTCCGTAAAATATTGTCTACTCAATGGTTGGCTAGGATTAACTCATGAAAACAAAACGTTAAGCAAGGACATCACACACTGCCTCAGTAATGTTCAGCTAGTGACACCTTATCAGAAATCAAAAATTATCTTAGCAGAGGCTAAAGTGACAGCCTGGGCTGTTCAGGCTTTACGAGCTCATGTCATTCAAGCTGAGTTACCTAATAAACCCAAGGCTAGTGGTAAAAGCAGTTTAAATCAAGGCACTTATACTTGGCTTAGAAAACTACCTAGGGCCAGATTTTTACTAACTATCCTTGGTATGTTAACGAACCACCAACGTGCTAATGAGATTGGTCTCTTAATTAACTCTGGTTTACTCTCTAGTGTCCTGACTTTGCTTAGACAAATTGGACCATCCGCACCAAGTCAACCACCGAGATCTAAAGAAAGTATAGCTATCTACGAAGACGTGATTCAAAAGGCGAAGACACCTATAGTCCAACTAACAGGAATGGAACTAGCAGCTCTGATGAAGATTGGAACTAGGGTAGTGCGTGGTATTGATTGGAAGTGGGGTGATCAGGATGGCGCTCCTCCCGGCGAAGGTCGTGTAGTCGGTGAGCTTGGCGAGGATGGTTGGATCAGAGTTCAGTGGGATAATGGTAACACCAATTCTTATCGAATGGGGAAGGAAGGAAAGTACGATCTGAAGTTAGCCGAACCGCCAACTCCACCTGACAGCGACTCTGACAGTGAGTCACCGGTAGATACGAACAAGAGTGACAAGGACATCTATAGGGAGACACATCCTACCACATACCTGAAGAACGCATCCACAACATTACTGAAAATTATTCTGCTCTCTTGCGGACTCGATGCTGACTCTGTTCAACCCTCAGCCATTAAAGTTCTAGCTTCCGTTCTCAAAGGTATCATCTCCACTGCGAACCAGACTGACTTCAGCAGCCAGACACAACTGGCCAGAGATCACCATGAAACTTGGGCAACTTTAGGACTACTTAGATCCATAGCTAATTCCCCTGTACTCTGTCGAGCTTTGAGTACTCCAGCCTGGATTGATCTTCTTCTAGGAATGATTGCTGAAGAAAACAATCCTAATTTACAAAAGCAGATCATGGCCATTAGATTACTCTCCACAGTCCTACCTTCCTGGCCTGTGGAAAGTCCGGAGATGACTCCATTTCTTGACAAGATTTTTAAACTTCTGGGTCGCATTGCTTTGATGTGTGAAGCGGGTGCCAATACTGATCTCTACATTAACAAATGTCGAGTATCCCTCACAGCGACACATAGCTCAACTTTGGCTGAAGAACTTATCGCTTTAATAAGGACTTTGCACTCTTTGCCTGGTTGGAATGCAGCCTTGAACACGTTTTTGACTAGTAAACTGGCTCTTGCATCTGATCTCCTAAGTGATGGCCCCCTATTCCATATACAAATGAATGAAAATGGAGGAGAGAACAGCTTGGTAATTCAACAAACCGTCATGGCGGCACTAATCGTTGTTGGTGGTCTTGATAACAAACCTAGGATCGGAGGCCAAATCGAAGTTGAAGGTCAGCTCGCGACAATCTGCAGGATAACACAACACTGTAAGCTTGTAGTACAGATGCACGAGAGTAAAGTACCGAAGAAAATATCGTTGACGTCCTTAAAAAATATAAGCGAAAAGTTTAATTTAGACAGAATGGTCTTAACCGAACCTTTATTATCAACTTGGGCTAATTTACTTCAAGGACACTGTGGCATGGACAAACGACCTGGTGGAATGCCGGTTATAGCTGGAGTTGTGAATGCTTCTATTTTACGTATGCAGCAGCAACAACTGGCTGCTTTAAATGCTGGTAAAACCTTATTAGATCATCAAACGAAGCTGCGCCGTGTTCTGAAGTGCATGACGACTGAGAATGATGATGACCGCACAACTCTTCTTCAGGAAATGCTAATTCGAGCTACCAAGCCTCAACCACTCAAACCAATTTTTAATAGAGAAGAACTTGAAACAGCAGCCTTGGCTGTATCGCAGTATCTAGCTTCGGAATTGAGACATACACCAATTCGAACTGGATTATCCTCAGAACCCGCTACTCCAACCTCAGATTGTTCTCTAGTCTCGTTAACCTCTAGTCAACAGCGACACTGCAGAAGCAGCACACGCAAAGGTGCCATTGCACCAGCAACTACACCATTGGTTACCCAGTTGATCGAGATGGGTTTTCAAAAGAAAAATGTCGAATTCGCTATCAAAAGTTTGGGTATCGCCGAAGCTAATATTACACCAGAAACAGTTGTTGGTTGGTTATTGGAAAATCCTGACGCAGCCTTCAGTGATACTGAGACATTATCAAGCTTAGATGGTTTATCAGACTCCGAAGGCTCCACCAGTGAAGACATGGATGATACTTCCTCAACTCATGAAGCTGGATCAGTTCCAGCACCTACTTACATGAAGAGATCAGACTTTTTGTCTGTCGACGAATATGCTATCTATGTCCGTGACAACGTCACGGCTGGTATGTTAGTCAGATGCTGCAAAACTTATGAGGAAGTTACATACGGTGATGTCGGCCAAGTGGTCAAAATCGATCCAGAAGGACTGCATGACCTTAATGTTCAGGTCGCGTGGCAACACAAAGGTGGTACCTATTGGGTCCGTTTTATTCACATAGAATTACTTGGTCATCCTCCTTCCTTACCAGGACCACCAGCTCTGAAAGTTGGTGACAAGGTCAGAGTCAAACCTTCAGTTTCGGTACCAAAGTACAAGTGGGGTTCGGTGAATCATCATAGTATTGGTGTTGTGACTGCAATAATCAACAACGGCAAGGATATTTGCGTGGATTTTCCTCAACAAAGAAGTTGGACTGGATGTACGGCTGAAATGGAAAGAGTTCCGTCCTGTCATCACGCGGTTTCATGCAACTCCTGCCATTTATCGCCAATTTCGGGACCTAGATTTAAGTGCAAAGCTTGCGAAAACTACAACCTTTGTGAGAATTGCTTCTATACTAAGAGGTCGCATCGACATGGATTCAACAGAATCGCAGAGCCAGGTTCGGCGGCTGTCTATGCTGGTAAACCAGGAAGATACCACAGGCAGGATCTTACAGAACCATCTTTAATTGAGGATTGGTCCAGATGTATCAGGACTTTAACTGTTTCGTCAAGAGATAACTGGGCAACACGATTGGTAGACGGTTCAGGAAAGTACTGGCAAAGTTGCGGTACACAAGGGAAACACTGGATCAGGTTGGAGATGTTACCTGGTATCCTGATACATTCTTTGAAATTGACTATTAATCCTCAAGATAGCAGTTACATGCCGTCATTAATAGTTGTCAGTGCTGGCGAATCATTCAGTAATGTTCTTGATTTGACAACTGTAACCATAAGAAATACTGACACTACAGTGGTTTTACTTCAGGACGTTAAGGAGTATTATCCTTGTATCGAAATTTCCATTAAACAATGTCGAAATGGTGGAATAGATTGTAAGATTCATGGTCTGCACATAGTCGGTCGGAAGAAGTTGTACGAGAATCAGTTGGCGACCTCAGTGTCCTTCTTAGCTTCGGATTGGGAAGTTGTCCAAGAACAGATGGCAACACAGCACAGTGGCGATGCACTTCAACATTCAGCCGTCTACGTTTGGGGCCTGAACGATAAGGATCAACTAGGTGGCCTCAAAGGATCCAAGATCAAGTTACCAATCTACAGTGAAGTTTTGTCGCAACTGAAACCCGTTCACATAGCCGGTGGTAGTAAGACTCTCTTCATCGTCAGCCAGGAAGGCAAGCTTTATGCCTGCGGAGAAGGTACCAACGGCAGATTGGGCTTGGGCGACAATAACAACGTCTATGAGCCACGGCCGATCCCATTCCTAAGTCAATACGTGATCAAGAAAGTTGCAGTGCACTCTGGTGGCAAGCATGCTTTGGCCTTGACCTTGGACGGTAAGGTCTTCTCTTGGGGTGAAGGTGAGGATGGCAAGCTTGGTCATGGCAACCGAATTTCCTTGGATAAACCACGACTTATAGAGGCCCTCAAATCTAAACGGATCAGAGATATCGCCTGTGGCTCAGGTCACTCGGCAGCTATTGCCAGCAACGGTGAACTGTACACCTGGGGTTTAGGCGAATACGGCAGATTAGGCCATGGCGATACGAACTCCCAGCTTCGGCCAAAGCTGGTGGAGGCTCTGGTGGGTCAAAGAGTGATTCAGATAGCTTGCGGCAGCAGAGACGCGCAGACAATGGCTTTAACCGAAGATGGTTCTGTTTATTCATGGGGCGATGGTGACTTTGGCAAACTGGGACGTGGTGGAAGTGACGGCTGCTACACACCGCTGTTGGTTGATCGATTAAATGGACTTGGTGTCGTCCAGGTTGAATGTGGTGCGCAGTTTTCATTGGCCTTGACCAAATACGGTGAAGTCTGGACGTGGGGGAAAGGTGATTATTTTCGACTGGGCCACGGCAATGACCATCACGTACGACGACCTACTGTTATTGAAGGTCTTCGTGGTAAAAAAGTTGTTCACGTCGCAGTTGGTGCATTACACTGTCTAGCAGTTACGGATGCTGGCGAGGTCTATGCGTGGGGCGATAACGATCATGGTCAGCAAGGTAATGGCACTACCATAGTTAATCGAAAACCGTCATTGGTACATGGTTTGGAGGATGCCAAAGTTAACAGGGTTGCCTGTGGCTCCAGCCATAGTGTGGCCTGGGTACTGATCGATCAGCCAGCTTTCAGCAATCAGGAGCCAGTGACCTTCCCAACAGCTAAGGATCCTCTTGGTCAGGCATCTCTAGGATTTATAGACACTACGGATAACAACGCTACCAACACATCTAAAAATGTTAGACCATCACTGTCACATATCATCCTGTCTTTAGAAAGCAATGTTGCAAAACAACAGGCTCTACAACACGTGATAAATGCTTTGCACATAGTACAGGCCAGAACAGCCATAGTAACCGCTTTGCGGAGTCATACAACATTGGCATCATGTGCCCGAACTGCGAGTCCAGACACGCCACCAGAAGGTACCATGGGGTCAAGTGTAAGTCACACAGTCTACCAGAATGTCGGTGAAATAGCTCAGGGTGGTGGCGAGGCACCGGCTAATGTTACTGAAGTGGTCAACGTAGTTAACAGTCCAAGAGCAACTCCAGAATCCGAAGAGTGCCCATTGGCTGTATTTCCTTCAATGTCCAGTTCGGCAAGTTTATCGTCCAGGGCCTCGAAAATGTCAACCAGTGCAATGAGCGTTATAGCAGCGACCTTGACATCAAATGCGCAAGTTGTTGGAGATGCTGTCACCAATGATCCGGGTCTGGACGAGTTCACGTCAACCTTGACCGAGGATGATGCTAGAATGTTGGTTGATCTGTTGAAGCTAGCTGTGGCGAATAGAGTCTGTGACGGTGCCAAGGAGACCATATCATCTATTTTAATATCTTTGGGTAAATTTAATCGCCTGATTGGTAACATGCTTTTGGAGCTGTGTGTGACAGAACTTGAAGACACAGCAGCAAATTCGAATTGCATGAATAATGCGCCACAACCTGTGGTCCAGGAGACACCTCATCCTTACATAGATGATACAACTTTGACGGGTCATGTTAAAATTCCTGGGGCCGAAGCACTCAGAGTAGAGTTCGACAGACAATGCTCTACCGAGAGGAAGCATGATCCTCTGACAATAATGGATGGTAGTGGTAGAGTGGTGGCTCTCAAATCTGGCAGAGAGTGGAGCGAATGGGCAGCTGAAATCAGAATTCAGGGTGATGAACTCAGATGGAGGTTCTCATCGGATGGCTCAGTGAATGGCTGGGGCTGGAGATTCACTGTTCATCCTGTATTGGCTACCCTGGCTCCTCATGAGCTCGGTTCTGATAGGGCCGTTCTGTCACAACCTGCAATTGCATTAGCGGAATGTCTTCTTGATAATTCCCTCATTAATTCCGACAAGAATATAGTAACGAGGCTAGCAGCAGCTCTTGCTCAATGTAGTCAACTGAGTATATTGACAGCTCAGCAAAGAATGTGGGCTTTGAGGAAGCTCCAAGTGGTTTATCTGAGCGGTCCTGGAATACGACCAGAGGCAGCACTATCATCACTACTTGGTTCACTCCCACAGGCTCTTCTAAGACAGTATGAGTACGAAGATCCTGCTGTTAGAGGTGGCAAGCAGCTAATGCATAGCGACTTCTTCAAAGTTCTTGTCGCTCTGGCCTGTGACCTTGAATTGGACGTCATGCAATGCTGCTCCGAGATTCATAAGTGGTCTTGGTTCAGAAGATATTGTTTAGCTGCCAGAGTGGCCAAGTCCTTAATCAATAGAACACAATTACCTAAATCGTTTTCCATTGAAGTCACCAAAAGGATCAACGAGATGATAACAGACGGTGATGCCAATGCTAAAGATCACGAGAATCATGATCTATTTAAGTTGGAACATGACGAACAGCTTCTGCTCTGGCTAAACAGAAGACCTGAAGACTGGACTCTTTCCTGGGATGGATCTGGAGCTATTTACGGTTGGGGTCATAATCACAGAGGTCAATTAGGTGGTTTGGAAGGTGCAAAAGTTAAGTTACCATCACCTTGTGAGAGTCTCTCAGCCTTGAGGCCAGTTCAACTAGCTGGTGGTGAACAGACGTTATTCGCTGTCACCGCTGATGGGAAAGTATATGCAACAGGTATGTAAAACAGTTTACTTAATGGAAATTGAAACAAAAATGTTATATATTTCTTAAATTTAAGGCTACGGAGCTGTGGGGAGACTCGGGATAGGCGGTACTGATTCCGTAATGATACCAACACCTCTCGAGTCCATTCAGCATGTTTTTATCAAGAAAATAGCCGTGAATTCTGGTGGTAAACACAGCTTGGCCTTGAGTTCTGAAGGTCACGTGTACTCTTGGGGCGAGGGTGATGATGGGAAGCTTGGACATGGTAATAGGGTCTCTTTTGACAGACCCAAGTTGATCGAAGCTTTGCTTGGAATGGAAATTGTCGATATAGCCTGTGGAGGACTTCATAGCGCAGCGATAACCAGCGCAGGATGCTTGTATACCTGGGGAAAAGGTAAGCTGTCAGAATTATCCGAGCTATTACGCCTATCCATAATCTTAACTCCGATTTCAAATATGCTCATGTCTTTACAAGGACGATACGGTCGATTGGGACATGGCGACAGCGATGATCAACTGAAACCGAAGCTGGTAGTGGCTCTTCAAGGATATAAGGTCGTGGATGTAGCCTGTGGCAGTGGAGACGCTCAGACACTCTGCGTTACTGATGATGACAACGTTTGGAGTTGGGGAGACGGCGACTATGGAAAACTAGGTAGAGGTGGAAGTGATGGTTGTAAAGTTCCTATGAAGATAGAGTCCCTGGCTGGTCTTGGGGTGATTAAAGTCGAATGTGGAAGTCAATTTTCGGTGGCCCTCACACGCTCTGGAGCAGTGTATACCTGGTAGGTCACTAACAACAACTATGGTATAAACATTTTCTCTATTTGAGTAACAGCCCATCATTAGATCAAGCTTGATACGATTCTGATTTTTAATGCAGGGGCAAAGGTGATTATCATCGTCTAGGTCACGGTACCGATGATCACGTTCGGAGACCCCGCAAGGTTGCTGAATTGCAAGGAAAGAAAATAATATCAATTGCAACTGGTTCATTGCATTGCGTAGCCTGCTCTGATAAGGGAGAGGTGTTTACCTGGGGTGACAATGACGAAGGCCAACTCGGTGACGGGACAACGACTGCCCTCGTCAGACCGAGATTAGTCCATGCCTTGCAAGGAAAAAAGATAACTAGGGTGGCTTGCGGGAGTGCACACACCTTGGCATGGTCAACAACCAAAGCTACTCAAAGTAGATTACCGGCAACCACCCCCATGGAGTATGACCTGGTGAAGGACTTGCCGTTCCCTGCCCTCCACAACCGACTTGTCCTTCTTCATCACTTTGCGGAACTTCTGTGCCCATCTTTATCCATGTTCCCGACCAGTGGACATATTGGCCTAAACAAATTAGCACCTATGCTGGTCTACAGCATCAAAGAAGCAACTTTCCGTAAGGTCGTTCAAGCAACCATGGTCAGAGACAGACAACACGGTCCGGTTATTGAGCTGAACAGGATTCAAGTGAAGAGAGCTAGAAGTAAAGGTGGCCTTGCTGGTCCTGATGGCATCAAATCAGTTTTTGGTCAAATGGTCTCAAAGATGTCACTTCTTACTCAAGATGTGCTCTTCTTACCCCATCGAGTTTGGAAGGTCAAGTTTGTTGGTACGGATACTATTTCATTAAATGATACTGTGTCTCATATCTGATGATACATGATAATAATTTGCTTCATACGAGAATTCTGTATCATAATTCATTAGTCCAGTGAATATTTCTATTCTTGCTGGAATAATATCGCTATGATATTAATCTTTAAATTACGTTTGACAGGTGAAAGTGTCGATGATTGTGGTGGTGGCTACAGTGAGAGTATAGCAGAAATGTGTGACGAGCTTCAAAATGGCTCACTTCCATTATTTATACCGACTCCTAATGGTCGCGAAGATAATGGCACGAATAGGGATTGTTTCCTGTTAAATCCAATGGCGACGTCGCAGCTGCATTATAGCATGTTCCAGTTCTTAGGTATCTTAATGGGAATAGCTATAAGAACAGGCAGTCCACTAAGCCTGAATCTGGCAGAACCAGTTTGGAAGCAATTAGCTGGTATCCCACTTACACCAGCAGATTTAACCGAAGTCGACAGAGATTATGTTCCTGGTTTACTCTGCATCAGGGATATGGACCCTGATGAGAAGGTTTTTCAAACTTTGGAGATGCCTTTTTCAACACCATCTGCAGTTGGCCACGACGTGCCATTGTCGAACCGGTGAGTTTTCAACTCTCACAGGAAGCTTGCCAGTTAGGTTACACAAATAAACACAACTAACGAGAAGCCTGAAAATTAATTGTTTCTAACCAAATGTTCTAGAAAAGACCAATGATTTTGCTTTGTGTCAAGTTATGTCGTTCTGTATCTTGCAAGTGAAAAGTTGAAATTCAACATATGCATCCTTATCAAATGCAAGCATAATGTGTAACTGTACAAAAGGCAGTCTTATTGTATCTGTTATGAAATGGGTTCGATGAATCGAGCATTAATTATTCTTCTTTCTAATAGATACCGGAAGATAACCCCTGAAAATAGACACGAATATGTCAGACTAGCTCTGAACTACAGGCTCCATGAATTTGATACTCAAGTCGCGGCTGTTCGTGAAGGTCTCTCTAAAGTTGTACCTGTTCCACTCTTGGCATTGTTTAGTGGAGCTGAACTGGAAACAATGGTCTGCGGTAGTCCGGATATTCCCCTAAGTTTACTTAAATCCGTCGCTACATACAAAGGTACCTTAAAAAAAACTTTTGGTACATATTAATTCTGTGTGTACAACTCTTATCGAAAGCTATTGATGAGGTTGTATTTTACTTCGGGTAGAGAAAGTATTAGAAAATTTTTTTCAAGAAAAACATTCAAACTATAATATTAATTATTTTAGGGATCGAAGCTACTGCACCACTCATTCAGTGGTTCTGGGAAGTAATGGAAGAATTTTCTAATCAAGAAAGATCTCTGTTCTTGCGTTTTGTATGGGGAAGAACGCGCTTGCCGCGTACAATTGCTGATTTTCGAGGAAGGGACTTCGTTTTACAGGTGAGATTCAACAAAGTAGTAAACATCCAACAAAATATTATTTTTGGTCGGTAGACTTTCCGTACCCTCTTTCAAACACATTTTCTTTTCAAAATACACAACTAATTTTGTATGATATGAATTATATATTTTTTTTTTTTATCAACTGAACAAATTATATTTTCTTATACATTCAGGTCATGGACAAATATAATCCTCCGGATCATTTCCTTCCGGAAAGTTACACGTGCTTTTTCCTGCTAAAGATGCCAAGATACTCTTGTAAACCCGTGCTACGTCAAAAGTTAAAGTACGCAATACACTTTTGCAAGAGTATTGACACAGACGAGTATGCCAGGGTACAAGCCGCAACGAATTCAGACACCGAGGATACAGATAGCTTAGCGAGCGAGGAACATACGTCTCTGTAATTTTAAAGTCATTTGACACAGATCAGAAATCATCGATCGCATCACGAAGAGATCTAGTCGACGTGGAAGAGCTTTCTGTAACAAGTGTAATATTTTTTCTGTTTATCCTTCGTGAAATGACAATTAATGGAAACCCATGAACTTTTATTTCAATTTCTCAAACACAATTATGAAAGTGAATTAATGTTACGCGAACTTGTAATATGTACTTTGCTTATCCTTTTTTTCTTCAATGGCACAAATAACGGCGCCTCCTGTATCGTTAGGTTGCAAACGCTTGGTACTAGACTGGAAATAATTACTATTATTAATTATTATTAGCTATTGATATTGATGTCGTTAAGAGAAAATTACTGTGTAATAACGGTGCAGCACGAATTCAAAACTGTAGGTTACTTTTCTTTTACCGTGTTGTCTCCGTTTATTGAAAATTTTCTTCTTCGAATGTAATGTATACTGATGTACTGATCACGATATGTATTTCGAATTACGTGGTACGATTAATGTTACTCTGAAATCTACTTGAATGCAGATAAGATTCAAGTGCTGAAATCTCCCTTTAGTTTGGATCAAAATTTAAAAGTCTGCATGATAGTCACACAGACATTAATGTTAAACATTATTGAAAAATTATTGTTAGACTGCGGGACTGCGGTAACACCACCACTTATGATTAGTTAATTGAATAGTTTAATCGTTATCTAAAATTCATGTTAAATTATTATTAGATATTTCTATAGATTATCAATTTCTTACTGCAATATTCCCTTCAATTTACCAATCTCCTGAATTTTATATCGCTTTAGCAATACGAAAATTCCAATCTCCATATTTTTCTTTTTTTCTTTCGTACAACCATATTCAATTTTTGGTTATGCTATCAAGGCATTAAGGAAAATCTTGTGATACAGTGCAATCAGGCAAAATGAGAATGAACAAGACAAGTAATATATGTAATAAATATAACTGACACTTACGAACTTGTATTTGTTGAAAAGCAATTTGCGTCCAACAAGTGATATAGTTTTTTATTTAAAAAACGTGTACTCTAATATGACGTCAGCAGAACTAAGCTTTTATTATCTCACGGTGATTAAATTTTGTTATTTTTAGTGCAAAGATTTATTGTTTTCTTTTTCAAATGTGTTCTTGTTAATATCAGTTTCATTTTTTACACTAATATTCCTCTTTTCATTTTCACTCTTGTAATAGAATTATACCCTAAGAACCTTCTTAATTATATCACCTAGAACGTTTTCGAACAAAAATATATATATATATATATAAATGCTATAAATATACATATATGTAAGTGTTGTCGTTATTATTGCTACGAGTCCCTATTTTTATTATTTACATTCCCTCTTATAACCCAAAACATATGCAACCCGGAATCTCTTATTCGCAAAGACATTAAATAACTCATATATCTTATCTGTTACTCTCAATTTACATATTGGAAAATGGACTATTTCAATAATTGGAAAAACTGTTGGTCGGTGCTTTTGTTTACATCAGCACAGCAGATTGTTACGGTTCAACGATAAATTACGCGACTCTATTGTAATCTATCACTAGGCGATGAACTATAATTACGATATCAATGGCAATTAATCATTCGTTCCAATGACCTTACAATCTGATGTATTAATAACTCATAATGCACGGCAATCATTAACATTATTTTGAACAACATTCAAAATTTATTTAATTTATATGCGTTTTTAATATTGAAAATAATTTTTGTTCATATCCTCGCAGTGATGAATAATGTTACTCACTCATCGTCACTGTAACTCCATACATTGAATATGATGAGCCTTGACACAAACATACATATTATAGAATCTACCCAAGGCTTCTCTACGCACCTCGAAGTACCAGTTTTACTTTTTTTGTTTTACTTTCAGAAATAATATCCGACCCGATCTGACAGGGTCGTCTTGCAATGTTTCAAGGTCTTTACCTTGATTTTTAGACCAACGCGGTATATGTATATAATTAGAGCTATATGTATGTACAAACCACACGATGTGATCGAGGTGATATACTTTGTTCAGGTAAACTTCTGCTCAGTTTCGGCGTAGTACAATATAGTCCTTATCACTCATACCTATAATAGGGATTTAATTCGTGCCAATCATCAATAGTGATACAACTATTTCATATTAGTAATTTTGTATAATACTTATTCCCAGTAACGTACCTACATAATTTTATACACGTTCATTGGACATTCGTAGGATATTGAGTCGTCAAGGACGTATTAAAATCGACAAAACTTTTCTGCTACTGAAGTATTCAATTAAATAAATGTCAGTCAATATGCTGTACTGTCCATATATCATTATTGACATTAAAATACTTTTACTGTGGTAAGTTATTTGTATATGAATATATGTAAATGTGGCATAATCGATTCATAGATATATATCTGTTGGTCTTTTTTTATGTTTAATTCAATAGCGACTTTCAGCGCGCAATACAACATTATATATACTACGAATACATTGGAGTAGTATAATTCTGGGGATTGACACGTGCATGACTATTATTGGCAGTACAGTACGTACTCAACTTATTTTATAATTTTCTGCTCTAGAAAGTATCTAATGATATGGAAAAATTTCATGAAATCACTGTACTGATTATTCAGTGAATGACATGTTTGTGATCTATTACCTATTTCAATACATACGTACAGAAAATATACAGTACTTTCTTTTCAGGTCATTGACTTTCATTAGTCATTTGCTGTATGTCTGCTGGCCACGTCTAGTCGGAACATCTAGGACAAGAGTTTAACGTGAAAGTTATGAAAATCTTAAGCTATTTTAAAGCCCTTACATGACCAGAGTCACGATACATGACTTGTAAATTGTTTTATTTTTTAACACCATATGTGTATACATATGTTCTACCGAATACTTTGGTATACTATATATAATTATTGGTATGTGTATATGTATATTACGTTTAATACACACGTGAATGCATAAAAGAATTATATTTTTCAAGCAAAACCTAGGATAATTTTTTGAATTCATAATAATAGCCCACCCGTCATTCTGCGCCATGAAACTTAATCGCTCGATTTGAAATAAATATTTTACTTACCTCCTAAGATTTTCTACTTTTTTATAACAGCGTTGCTATTTTTTTGTGATATCTGATTAAATAAATAGTCAGTACTGTCGATTTTCAAACTTGCATACACATGGTTACTGGCGTTGTCATTAATGCCGGTTATCTGTTGTCTGCGTTTCGATATATTTATGCATAAGGTTTATATAAAGCATGCAGTAGACTTTTTCGAAGAATTCGAATATCGACATTCTAGTTTTTATATTTTGACTAATAGTTAGATAGATAAATATTCTGACAATTGACCAAATAACAACTACAATAATTATGTACTCGAATTATGCGACTTGAATTCTATTTATAAATTTCCACTTTAATATCCGATCTAATCCTATGACTGCTTTCAAAGCTGTGAAAGTCTGAAAGATTTTTTTCTTCAGTTGCGTATCACTGCAATGTTATATAGTATATAATTGAAATACTGCGCAGTCGTTTTAATCGCACCTTGAATATATGAGTCATATATTATGTATAAAAATTTCGTTTTACTTTTATATGGTAGAACCTCCATAAGTCGAATCTCGAGGGACGAGCTTGAATATTCGAGTTATCGAGGTTTTGACTTATCAATATTTCGACACGCAGAATTGGAATAAATAAAAATTCAAATCGCCAGATTAGCTTCGAGATATAGTGGCTAACCATCTCTGACTTCGAGTTGTAGAGGACTTTGCTAGAATTGTGCGTTCTGGAAATGACTTTGAGTTACGTAGAAATTATTTCGACTAATAGACGTTTTGGTAGCTGAAGGGAAGGGAATAAACAAAATGTACAACTTATGGAGGTTTTCGACCTAAAGAGGTTCGACTTATCGAGATTCCACTGTATATAAGTGACCGAACGGAATTCGTACGTGTACAAATACAAATTAAAAGTTATAATATTTTCTCAGCCTTGGCGATACTTTGTGTTTTTATACATACATATATCATATTACTGTTGACATATGTATAATAATTGGCTACGTATTTTTTCCAGGAATAAACATTCCAACTGCATTGTCACACCTATCATAACGTTAAACAATTTCCTTATCGATTCATTCCCAATGCCACAAGAAGCATAATACTACTTATTTTAATCCTTCAAAGTAATCCATTTAGGCACTTAATGGTTATTCAGATTTATTGCTTATCTTTTTTTGTGCTCGATATGAGCTTAATGAATTCACACACAATACATAAACATTCATGGTATGATATATATTTAGTTTTATCACAAAAGATATTATATCATGAACACAATGAATTTCCAGTATGAACTGCTATTCACAAAGTATATATACACATGTGGGATATCACATCCTGCAGATAATACAACTTTTAAATTAAATTGTTTTGCCGCTCAATCATCTCTCCGTTAATAGAGAATACATGATAATTCACATGATCAATAAATTTTATCGACATTTAAAATGCATCAATCTCTCTAGAAGAATATACCTACATATGCTTTATGCAAATTTTCGTAAGAGTATACTTTGGTGTATTCTTCGCTCAATATTTTACAACGAAGATCATAAAAGAAACTGTAAAGATGGTGCGAGCTTTGGCATACATACTGCATCATGTATACTAAATGCATATTAAGAAGAGTAAAACTATGAGATACGAGCAATCACATATGGTACTGACTGTATAACGTAGAGGAAGTGCATCAAGAAGTTTAGGGTCCTAGGAACAATGGAAATACAAGGAATCATATACAAATATTGTATGCCTTGACTTTCTTGACTACGACTATCGCCAGTGTATGAGCGAATGCTCAGACGTGACTGGACGTGACTGCCATCACGGACGCTCCTCAATAATTTCAGGTTATGCTGGAGAATAGGTTGGGGATTGTTACGTCTGGCATATACACGCAACATACACGAGCATATTCGGAAGCCTTCGCCTGGCAGCTGCAGCACACCATAAACATACATTCTGTCAGTCAGTCGTCTCGTGCACGTGCAAGATAGACAATCACTGTGTCAGTCGATCGGCAAAGGACGTTATATTAGACATTCGAGATAGTACGCGAGTTTATTTATTCACTTTCTGGTATTACTATAAATTTTGCGATATATCGATGATTCGATTAAACTGTGCTATCAGCTTGTAATATATCAAATACGTTAACGGGGATGAAGATATATCGGAGTACAGAAACTGCTACGATGCATTCACCTCCGGTATGTACGATACGCAATTTACAATTGAGAGAATTACAAAAGCTGATATGATCTTTGTGTTGATGCTACGAACTCTTGAAAATAGCTTTGATAAATAGTTAAACCGAGTGAGATTAAAATAAGTGTTTTTGAAGGCTCGCCTTATTTGTGTACGCAAAAGTTACAAATGCCAGTTCAATTTAAAGCTTGAACCTATTGACACGACTTGTAAACATCTTATAAAGTTATGACGCTATCCTTTTGATTTATCTGAATTTGAGCTATACAGATAGATGTTTCATAAGGAATTACATAAAATGCAATCAAGTATGGCAATATTTTTTTTGCGAATGACATATCAGTGTTTTCTAAAATTTAATGTAATTGCTTTCGTGTTATTCTCAAAACATTACGAAAATATAGACCCATCTTTATTTCGTGCTTCTAAATTGTTTACACGAGTACACAATATTGTACTATGTGCTTTCTTATCTTTGTATTATCATACGAACGATTCACCGAACGATTAAAACTATTTGCCTTCAAGGATCATGAGCTCACGAAACTTCTCATTAGTGAGATGCTTCGAATATCAGTGTATGTTTGTTATTTTTGTTTATCGGAATAAATAAAGTAAAAACAATCTTTACAAATTGCATACGGATAAAAAACGACGTATTATTTACATACGTACTATTTCGCTTTTCTGTGACACTATTTTTTTTATTAAAACATAGTTGTGCATCATTTATGTAACTCGTGAAATTAAGATTGCTTGAGAGAGATTTCTCGTTATATTTCTTTATTTATAATATTAGTACGCGATAATAATTGAAAATTAACAAAGAGTATTGTTTTGCATTTTAAAGACGAGTGACGGACATCTATCTTCGTATAAAATAAAACGTTTTACAGAAATATACAATTTTCTTCATTCCAAACGATGATAATATTAATATATGATATTTGCAAATCTTTGTTACTCCATTGATCTATGTTATTTTAGAATTGTTGGTATATGAATATGCCAATAGTATTGCGTCGTATCGCGATATCCCATTCATATGCATAAAATTAGTTTAGTATAGTTCACTGGCATTAAAGCCTTGAAAATTGAATAGTCTTCATGACACACTCTCGTATTGCCAACTAAGTAAATAATAATTAAAAATAGATACACTGAAGTGATTTATTATTATTTATATTTCCGTTTATCAAATTATCCCAATAATCATGTTTAGAATATTCTTCGTGGCCGTTCGGTTAATAAAACAATTTGAATTGCTTGACAATGAACGATTAAGATCTGCACACTACCAAAATCCAATCAACAGTTCCACATTGAGATAATTCCAATATGGATGTAGGTATGTGAAATAATAAACAGTGCCTCTTATTCAACTCTATTTAATTACAGGGGTCAATTTCGTCGAAAGGTCGAGGCACTATCGGCAGATCGTGACGTATGTGCCATTTACAAATGCGTGAATTGTATCTGACTGTTAAACGTATGCTGTTGCAAGGAGAAGAGTCCTGATAATACAGCTAACAAAACATCTGCGAATAATGACGGGATTTAAAGCTGTTTGCGTTGAGGCGCTCGGGCAGTCACGAAGTGTCTTGAGGATAGCGTTAAGTCAAACCGAAGAGATGTTCCGTTTAGCTGTATCTAAGGTATATTAATAATCCCTAAGTGTATAATTAATATTGTTATGCCTCCAAAGTGTGTAAAGTTAAAAAGACGTACGTTTTTTTTTTAAATAAATTTTGATACTCGGAAAATATTATCACGAACAAATGTTTTATTGTATGTCGTATATAGCAGATGTATAGACACACGTATTTTGGATATTTTAGTTGACAAAGAGGAACGCAAAATTGCACAGTAGAACCTTACTCACGAAACCTGACGAAGCATTGAATTCTTCTAAAACTACGGTAACAGTTCCTGAATATGCGGATGTAGTAATAATAGGTAAGTAATTAATAATAAATGATTGTACAATGATACACTTGTAGTTAACTGCTGTATCATATATTTTAAATTATAATTTATATAATACTATATATTATTTGCAGGTGGGGGTACTGCTGGCTGCAATGCTTTATATAGTTTAGCCAAAAATGGAGTACGAGCTGTGCTCTTGGAAAGATCAAAATTATCATCAGGTACAACATGGCATACGGCTGGTCTTATATGGCGATTACGACCAAACGATACAGAAATCGAGTTACTCGACATTACAAGAAATATTTTGATGAATTTGGAAGAGGAAGCAGGAATGAATTCAATATGGATAAACAATGGAGGAATCTATATCGCACGATCTGACGTGAGTACAATAATTATGCTTGTTCCTAGGAACAATGCAGTTGTAGTGTATATAACTTGTTCATTTATTTTTTTTCACAGATGAGAATCCAGGAATATAAGAGACTAGTCACTGTTGGCAGATCTCATGACATAGAAGCACATATAATATCGCCCCGCGAAGCACAGGAATTATTTCCACTTTTGGATCCAAACGCATTCACTGGTGCAATGTACACACCCGGTGATGGTGTTGTGGATCCTGCCACGTTGCTAGACGCCTTAACTAAATCTGCCAAAAGCAATGGAGCTCAGGTAAGCAATGAAGCTCAACTTAATCCAACGAAACAATAGCAACAACAAGATTCGATTACAGCTCAAGACTGTTTGAAGAGGAATATCTAATTTTCTTGCACTCTTTTTTTTTTAATTTACCCATTTTGCGCAAAAGTAACAGTCTATATTATGAAACGTAAATATTATATATGATTATACATCATGTTTCAGATTATAGAAGACTGTCCAGTCACGAAAATACTGACAGACAAAAACATGTTTGAAACAAAACGTGTAACTGGTGTAGAAACTCCTTATGGTTTGATCAAAACTAATTGCGTTTTGAACGCTTCGGGAGTATGGTCGAGAAGCACAGCGAAAATGGCAGGATTGGACATACCATTGATACCAATGAAACACGCTTATGTCATTACGGCACCATTGGAGGGAGTTCAGGGTTTACCAAATATTCGGGATCACGATGGGAGCGTTTACTTCCGTATTCAAGGGTCATCGCTATGCGTTGGAGGATACGAGCCCAATCCGATAATTTTACAATGTGTTAGTTACCAGCTTGAGATATACATTATCACGGTTTTAGTATGTAAGATAAATGACATTTTTATGCACGATCACATGGAATATTGTTCGTGTGGATGTGATTCAAGGCAAACTTCTTTACCTTGATATTTTTATTTTTCTTGTACACTTTTTGTGATTTCATTCTCAGACAGACCGTGCATGTACAACTTGACGTCATGTGCAATTACATAGGAAAATGACAATTGTTGCCTTTTTGCAGGTTCCTAAAAACTTTACGTTTGACTTGTATGAGCTTGATTGGAATGTGTTTAGTACACATACGACAGAAATTATTAAGCTTGTGCCAAAATTTTCAACAGCTGGTATAAGAACTACCGTATGCGGTCCAGAGAGTTTTACACCTGATCACAAACCGATCATGGGTTGGTATTTAAAGTATATCCATTTTCAAAGAAAAAATTTAATGAATTATAATACTGAGATAGAAGGGAGTTAAGCGTAAGCTATAACAAAGTGCAAATACGTAAATACGTAATATAATAATAAATATAAATTGGTATTACCTCTGTAGGAGAGGATCCACGCTGCTTGGGTTTCTATCACAGTTGCGGCTACAACAGCGCTGGTATGATGTTGGGTGGTGGTTGTGGGGATCAAATAGCCAAATGGATAATACATGGTCGACCAGATAAACATATGCATAATTACGACATAAGACGGTAAATAACATTCAATGCGTGATTATATTCATACAGTATTTAATAATTCATGAAATTGTACAGGTTCACACCAGAACAGACGAGAGATGCAATTTGGGCCAATGAAAGATCTCACGAGTCTTACGTGAAAAACTACAGTATTGTATTTCCACACGATGAACCACTCAGTGGTAGAAATTTTAAAACAGATCCATTTCATCATGTGAGTACTTGAATCTTCGTTGTTGTCTAATTATTAATAAAAATTCAAATATATTATGAACAATGAAATTACCAATTATTCTATATACTTAAGATTATACAAGTTGTTATATTGTTACGACCAACAGTTATTTTTACAATAAATAATCTGTTGCTTCAGCTACTCGTAAAAGAAGGTGCCGTTATGGAAGAACGTCAAGGTTGGGAAAGGCCAGGATGGTTTTTAAGTGGAAAAGTAGCACCAGTGGCTGCTTATGATTATTACGGCAATTACGGTTCACCAAAACATCAGGAATATCCATATGCCGAAATGCTTGCTAGAGAGTATACATTTGACTTTCCGGTGCATCATAAAATTGTGAGTAAACACACAAGATAGAGTTAGACTTTAGACGTCAGAATGACATACATTTTTCTCAAAAATGCATTCAGATTGGCGAAGAAGCTTTGGCGTGCAGAAACAACGCAGCACTATTTGATATGTCATACTTTGGAAAGTTTTATCTGTGTGGTCCAGATGCGCAGAAAGCTGCAGATTATCTTTTTACTTCGAATACTGATCGTGATATTAATAGGACAGTATATAGTTGTATGTTAAATAAAAATGGTGGTGTCGAAGCCGATTGTACAGTAACCGCCATTGAAACTGGTTCCGGCGGTGTTGCGGATCCAATATTTAGAGGAAAAGCATTTTATATTGGTAAGTTAGGAGTTTAATGTTTAATAATTTCAGTTTCTTACGCTCAATGTCAGTTTATGGATTCAACAATCAATTGATTGAATTGACCGCAATAAAGGAAATGTATTTGATTTTAGTTTCAGGAGGCATGTCGGCATATCATACATGGTGTCACATGAAGAATGTAATACGAGAACAGGATTTCAAAGTGACCTTACACGATGCAACGGAACAAATAGGAATACTATCTATTCAAGGGCCTAACAGGTAAACTATGTTATTCGTTAAAAGTTATTATTACTTAACGCTGCTATTCAAGCAATAATAACTGCTCTGTGAACATAGTCCCCGATCTTAATATTCGTAACTTATTGTTATTGGAATTTTTTTATAGTATTCCATCGTTAACTTTTGCATTTTAGTGATAAATGTTTCTTTTCGAATTTATAAAATTTCAAATTAATTAAAAATTCCTATTAAGCATGATTGCAGAAAATAATTGCATATTCACAGAATTATTATTATTTTATTTTGGCACTGAAAAATTTATTTTAAAAAGTAAATTAAATTTGCTACCAAACCTCAATAAAGTAATTTTGATAAGAAGATGTAAGAAAAACTGAAAAGTGAAGCGGCTGGAGATTATGTTGTAAAAGGTAGTAATACATTGAAACAAGATATTATACGAACACAGCGCGTTAACGTTAAACGAAGTTAATTTTTCTTTTTAATATTTTTATTATTTTGAATATTTATTCAATATAATTTCTAATTTTTCAAATCATCGTTATGCTGCTAAACGATCTCCTTCATTTGCGTATATACATTATTCTTTAAGCGAATTTTTACGTTTTTCCATTATTTTTATAAAACTTTCACTCAATGACGTTACCACGCGATATAGTACATATATTCTGTTTTTGTGGATTATAACTAATTAGGCAGCAGTCTTAATTCTAATTGAGCAATTTGTAATTATGTATAATATTTATTGCAGTCGGAGGATACTTGAGACAATAGTCGATGAGGAACTTTCGAATGAAAAATTTCCAATGTTGACCTCAAAGTTAATGAATATCAAAGGAAATCTAGTCAGGACACTCAGGGTTAGTTTTGTTGGCGAATTAGGTTTCGAATTACACATTCCATCTCAATTATGTGAAAACGTATATGCAGCCGTAATGGCGGTTGGAAGAAACTACAAAATGAAACTTGCTGGTTACCGAGCACTTTACAGTCTGAGTAGCGAAAAAGGTATTTTTGTCACGTATATTTGAAATAATTGTACAACAAATAAGTAGAAGTAATGTGATAGCATATTTCACAATTACTTGCATCATAGGGTATCATCTGTGGCATTACGATCTAAGAACAACTGATAATCCGATAGAAGCGGGCCTTGGATTTTTGTGTCGGAAAAATGGCGATTATCAGGGTAGAAAAGCTGTGAAAAAGCTCAGAGAAAATGGAGTTAAGAGAAAACTGGCACACTTTCATTTAAAACAGTAAGAAGTGAAAACAGTTTTAAATATCATTTATAATTTGCAGTCTTGTTTGCATATATACATATATATTTCATTCTTTATTTCAGCCAAGTGCCATTGTGGGGCCTGGAAACTGTTTATAGGGATGGTCAAATTGTTGGATACCTAAGAAGAGGAGAGTACGCTTATGCACTGGAAAAAAGCATTGGGCAAGCGTAAGCATTGCTATATTTTCCCAGAAATTGTGGCATATTTATAAAAAAAATGGTTTACTCTTACAGATATATAAAACATCCCGAAGGTGAGAACGTGACCAAACATTTTTTGGAAAATGGTGTCTATGAAATCGAAATAATGAGAAAGAGGTATCCAGCGACGATACATTTACAGAGTCCTTTTGATCCAGAAAATAAGAGGCCTCTAGGCGAGTACAGTAGTAGTTAGCATTGATGTAGTTTTATATATTTATGAAGAAATGAACGTATTTACAACAGAAAGAAGTAGAGTATCATTACAATAGGTATGAAAAAGTGAATTCGGTGAAACCGAAACCGGTGAAAAAAATACATTCATAGCATCAAGAATCCTATATTCCTTGAAGCAGAGTAGTTGAAAATCAAGCAGATTGAATAATATAATACTTTTATTCTATACATTAGTCTGTTTAAAATATATTGCAATCTGAACGTCACCAAGCGTTGCTGACAATTAAGTGTTATGAGAAATGTTCAACATTCTAAATTACTATCCATAATTTAAGTAAATTTGTTGACCATTTTTCATAGCGCAGTCGGAATCAGAATACGCTTTGGTAAGTAACATGTTTAAACTTCTGTAGCTGTTTCTAAATTAGACTATTCATTTGATTTTTTTTTAAGATTTCATCCAGTTCTAAAGGATTTTTAGGGGCTCGTGATGTAAACAACAAATAAATAAAGTTGAGTAAAACATTTGCAAATAGTCTCGGCACTAAGGAGATACTGGTATAAGGAATAGCATTGTGGAACTTTGTCTGTGGGCATAGGATATAAACTGGAATCAGCATGGAAGTTGTGGAGGAAATTGATATGCCATAGATTTCGTTTTAGACATAGAATATGCGAAAACTGACCCTCTGTACTATTATCTACTCTATGATATCGGAACGGTTTTTTTTTGTAGTAACGCATTTGGCAAATTATTATAATCATTGCATATTCACAAAAAGAAAATGTATAGAAATTTATATGATTATTCTTTTATATGCAGGTTTCAAACAGAGTCAATTTTAAAGTTATAGAAAAGGGCAGGCTAGACAGAGCACAAAACAGATATGTTTATTCTCAAACTTTTTAAAGATGAATTTTTAGAATTTAAATAGATTTAGATAGATTTTTTATGTAAACGGAATTTATCATCGATGAATAGATCAAATAATATTGTTTTAATAGAACTTCAAAAGTAAGCAAGAGATGTAACTGTAAACAAACAAATTCTATGCCTATTAACAGGATCTAAATATGATTAGAAACGAAATAGATTTACATTTGTATCATTAATGTTAGGAAGGTAAGTTTTGAAAATGACTGCAAATGAATTGTACAATATCAATTAATTTATTTTAAAAATTAAACGACTTTTCAATATGCATTGTTACGTAGGTTGTAATATATATTTTGTACAAAAATATACTTTTGATAAAAATAATACTTATCCTGCTAAGGGATTTGCGTGAATTGTTATACTGTTTATTCTAGTTTCAGTGAGAGGTTTGTAATTTTTAGGATTTACAGGAAGTTTTTCCAACTGTTCAAGAGTATCCAAACCATCGATTACCCTAAAAAAACATCAAATTAGAAAATTATAAAAATGAATATTTATGAACATAAAAGGAAATACTTACTTCCCAAATAAAGTATATTTCAAGTCCAAGTGCGGTTGTGCTGCATATGTTATAAAAAATTGACTACCATTTGTGTTAGGTCCATTATTTGCCATGGATACAAGACCTCTTGTATTATGTTTTAATTCCTCTTTGAATTCATCCTCAAACTTTCGATTCCAAATCGATGTACCACCCTTTCCTGTCTGTGTAGGATCGCCAGTTTGCACGATGAAGCCTTTAATGTTTCGATGAAATAAGCAACCATTGTAGTAATCACTAGCACATAGAGCTAAGAAATTCTAAAAAAAAGTTAGAAATTGGTAATTTATTGGATTTACATTCTACATAGCGACGATATCAAAAAGTTAGGTTAGATTATCCTGGAATCATACACAACGTAATAACCATAAAAAAGTTTGTACTCTACTATGCAAGAGTTAATTTTATATACAATAATTGACATTATATATGATATAATATTTTTTTAAAATTACCTCGCTAGTCTTTGGACACAATTCACAGAATAATTCAATCTTAATATCACCGACATCTGTATGCAATGTAACGCTCTGAAATATATAAAAATAACTTGCATAAGAGTTATTCACTCAAATAGAACATAAATATTCGGTGACGTATAAAAATTCTGTTACTAACCATTCTTATAATATTATTCGTTAATTTTATGAAAATATGACAGAAAAAAAGAAATCATAAGCACATAGACATATTCATGCCCGTTAATGTGACAGCAGCCATTTTGAATTTTGCCACGGGACTAGCATAGTCAAATTATCTTTAGAAGATATGTAATCTTTTTAGAAATCAAAGACATTTAAAATAAAAAATAATGAAACTAATTAAATGTCGTTGCAATTCAAATGTAGGATGAAATAGTTTTTGATAATATTTTAGAAAAATGAACAAATCAATTAGGAATTTGACTTTGGAGTGCATCGGAAGGAATTTCCAAAGTAGTAGGACGCAGTTGGCCGGAACGCTCCACTCGCTGCATATAGCGGTCAGTTGTGGCGTCTAGTGTAGTTAAGGCATTGCCGCGAAAGAATCGAATACAAGAGAAGACTTTTCGCGGTTAGAGAAGACAAACGCGATCACGTCAATTTATCTGGCCTTGCAAGTCGTAAAGAAGTCGTAAGGATATTGCAGTGTGACAGGAGGACGCGTAGGGCGTTAGGCATATCTTCGTTGACTGTATTCATTGGACGCATGACGTAATTGTATTGATCGCGGAAGAAGAGCCGAAAGTCGCGCATTCGCCATCTTGGACGAATTGTGGAAAAGAAGAAGTTTGTGGTGTCTCGCCAAAGGCGCGGTACGATTGTTGGAACTGTAATCCACGGCGATCCGTGTGTCAAATAGTTTTATTGGGATTTAAACCCGTTTGTGAAGTGTAAACCCATTTGGACGGACCAAGGTGAGTCCATATTTCGGTAATACGAATCCCGAAGCGGCCCCTTTTCCATTACGTGGATGGATACGTTGTAGGATACCCCGCTTCGGGAATTTTTTCCCTGGCTATGCATCTCCACCGGTTAAGGATCTTGATCGAGTACCGTTATTCTTGATGTAAAGCAACTCGATCCCTTTGAAGAGACTTCGAATAAGAAAAGACGAAGCTCGAATATAAGGATTTCAGTTTCTTTTAACTTTTGAATTTATTGTTTGGGGCAGCGGGGTGAACCTTTTGACAGAATCAAAACGGTTTCAGATCGGCGTACTTTGCTATTGCTCAATATTTTCTTTGGCGGTTTGCTTCGCGGCGTCACCTTGCGTCGCGCCGCTCTATGCCACGCCACACGCTTTCCTTTCATTATTCTCTTCTTGGTTTTTCTCCTTGTTCCATTTTTTGTTATACTTTTAAGTACGTTGTCCTGTGATGGGTATTTAACGTTTCGTATTTTTGTTCGAGCAACTTTCGTACTATAGCTTTTCTCTTCGTGTCGCGTAAATGAAGATACTTTTATTCTTCTTCTCTGAAATCAGTTCTTGAACTCTTTCTTCTTCTCTCCTTCTCTTTCTTTTTCCTTTTCTTTCTCTCGCTCTCTTCGGTTCTTCCCCTTCACTCCCTCCGCCCTTCTTTTTCCTACAAATACATGCGCGTACTTTCATACTCTTAATAGTCTTTTGCGCTTTATTCCTTCCTATGCGTTGCGTTTTGATAATACGACGATTCGTTTGGTCTTCTGTACGAATTATATTTTTATCATAAGTAGAATGATGGGATTATTAATCATCCATTATTTGATGCATTAGAGCATATTTCAGAAATTGAATCGACTTGACAGGTATATTCATAAAGACGTTCTAGCGAACGTTACAGTACAAAGTATTGTCGTAACTTTATTGAGACACGATGAAATTTTTTCCGAAAATCTGGATATTTTCAGAAGTTACTAATAACTTTATTTTTTTAAATATATCTCAATCGTTTTTAAGGTGGTGATAATATATAATCTATAATCCACACTACAGATATTTATAGCTACAATGAAAATTTTCATTACTGTAGACAGGATGTGAAAGAAGTCTTATCCTATTTTTGGGATACATTGAGTACTTCATCTTCTACCCAAAATGCTTAGAGATACATACTACGATGAACTTGGAACACCCCTTAAGATGGAATGTCCCAAATTAGATGTACAAACACAATTTCAAAATAGCTTTATGCAATGTCCCAATCAATCGTTATTGTTTTGTATCTTACAATTAGTGTATAATGTAACAAACTATAGATTTATTGTTGCAGAATATACTCACAACTAGGTATCGCATATACATCAATATTTTACGGATGATTATGATTCATAGCAACCTTGAAAATTAGACTGATCTAATTACATGTAATTACATGAATATAAACATATAATTGTTGATGTTCACAAGGCTGTGGTCTTGTTCAACCCATGTATAGTATTACTGTAAAATCATATATGTGCTATAGTAATTGCGCAGGTAACTTCCCTTTAATTTTTGCCAAATTCATAGTAAAGATGAACTATGTTGAAATTTATAGATTACCTGAACAATTGTATTAAAACATAAAATTTTATGGACTAATAAGAATTTTCCTGTTAGTTAAAATGAAAATTACCTGTATTCTGAAAACTTCATAGATATGGAAAAAAGTACTTGTACATATACTTAGACTGTAGTAAGTGCAGTGATAAAAACGACCTGCTACGTTTTTCTTCTTTTAACTACAGTATTTGCACGTAGGCACGCGAACACGGGAACAAATCTGTCCTTTAAAAGTCTATAGTTATGGATTTCTGTACTTTCACTTACCTCGATAGTGAATTATTATTGCTGCTAGATATCATCGAAACTATTTTTCTTCTACATAATAATTTAGTTCGCACCACTTTCTACTTTATTGACTACTAATTTTAAAGTGTTGCTATTTGCAAATATGAGGCTTCTAAATTTGAGTATAAAGTTGACTGAATTATAAAGTTTATTCCTTTTAATTATTAGTTATACTATGTTTAGAAATATAGATGAAACATATTATAATTACATGAAAGTTAATTGTCTTGTAGAAAAGTATATCCAGGTCCATATTTTAAGTCAATACCTGAAGTTATTTCAATTCTATTGGAACATCAAAATGTTGATATAATTTAGATTCTCCTCTAAAAGATCTTGTACCTGAAATAAAAACCACTCAAAATATATATTTTCAGGTTTCCCTCGATCAAGCTGTATCGTATTGAAAATAAATAGTGTCATATGGGGTTATTATGATTTTTTTTTAAATCTTTATTTTACTTAAATCTAAGTACTTTTCTATTATGAAAAAGACTTGCACAGATTTTATTAAAACTTGAAAATGGTTAATTCATTGATTAATAAATTTTAATCAATATGCATTATCTTAGTATGTTATCTAGACTTCTGGGAAAGAAATTTATTTTGAGAAAATAAATAGGAAGCTCATATGCAAATTTCAATGGTTTCAGTTGTATAATTGAAAAGTTTAAAATTTTGATAGGCTTTATTGCCATAATTTTATTGCCTCTGTCTAAAAAAAAGTAAGTTATTTTTTAAACAAAAATTATTACTTTGTCAAGAAGTCATCCCTATCATAATGAATTATTAATTACTTGTAATCATTTCTAATAGATGTTAAAGGAATGGAATAATATTATTTCTTTTCAGTAAAAAAGTGACAAAATTTTAGTGTTTCTACCAAACAAACTAATTTCTCATCCATGCACATCATACTTGTTTATTCTGTTCAGGATTTATAACTGTTGATAATCATATGAATCATTTTATTTATTACAGACAAAGGGTTCGTTCGTTGGGTCTGAGTGGTACTAAATGGTTGCCTGCAGACAGCATGTCTACTCTGTCAGGGATTGTGTCGAAGGGGGAGAAAGGAAAATCCAAATTTCAATCGTTAGATATCAATAGTTTGTACCGGGTGAGTAGGGTAAGTTATCCAAATGTATTTTTATTAATTATAAAATTTATTAGTATTAATCCCTCCATTCATTGAGATAGTTTTTTGTATATCGCTGCAATCTTATCTCCTGAAATATTGCAAAAACAAAAAAAAATGGTTAATTTGCACTCCCTTGTGACGGGTGAATTTGGCATAATATCGCCCATACTTTATCTATATACCATTTTTAGGTACAATAATTACTGATATAAATGAAGAGATAACTGACTTAAACATAAACCTAACCTCTTTCTTTGTAAATGAGATAAAGAAACTGATGTCACCCAGGGTCATGTTTCATATCTAATAAAAAAGGACAATAATAAAAAGAATATGATTTAGTAATATTACCCTTAGAGCGGTAAGAAGGCATCGCTTGTGACACCAACTACATTTTAACTGCATGTACACAAATTTTGACTTACCGTTCTAAGGTTAACAAAAATGATGAAGTAAAGGATTATTATCTTTATGTAATATTGAATAAAATCTAAATAAATACTCAATATTTGTATGAATTAATTGTGAGCTAGGATATTATTATTGTTAATTCATTATGAAAAAAATACACAATTTTTCTTAGAATAAATTTATAACTCTTATCGATACCATCCAAGTTCTTTAAAGTGTAGTTGCTCAGAAGATCTTTGTTTGGTCTAGGGCGAATCTTTGGAGCAACATCAGCAAAAAAGCACACTACCACGCAAGCATGGAATGCAAAGTTTGGGAAAGGTGCCTTCGGCACGGCGGCCACCGGCTAATCTGCCTAGCCTGAAGAGCGAACACAGCAATAGTGACCCGGCAGTCAGTCTAGTACCAAGCGGCGGAAGCGGTTGGGCCACCACCAAGGAACCTGCACCATCAACTACTAATACTACCACCTCGGCAACAGCAAGCACACCCTCTGATACCACTACCGTATGTTCTAGCCATATATTCTAAATACGAATTGGGTCACAAGTCTTCGTCACTTGAATGACATGTCCATAAATTTCCACTACAATTATCTGATTGTATTTCCTCAGAGTAACTCATTACCGGCACAATGTGCGCCGGGGACCAATCCCGCGTCGACCACGCCACTACACCCACCACTGCCAGGACAGCAACAAAACGCTTCGCAAAGCCCTCAATCTTCAGACGCTTCCAACAAGTCGTCATGGAGCGCGATCATGAGCAGACCAGGAGACGTTGGTATGCACTGTAAAATTTGTTATATCGAAATTTATTATAGTCTGACGGCATAATGTGTTTTCGGCTCCGTGATAGACTTCGGCGAAAGTTCTACTTGACCGGATGTAGAATGAGTTCGGTAATATATCTCTAATATACTTCAGTGAATTGTTGTGTCTACAACATTTTTATAAACAGGTTAGCGAACTCATTCATTATTGTTAGAAAAGTTAGATTATGTCAGGTCAGGTTTTACAATTTCTCTTATATATTCTTTTTATATGTGCCTCTAATGGCTATAGAACTGAGCGCGTTGTTTGGTACATTGATTCTTGGTTAACATATTCATGGGAGTATCTAGACTTTGCGATTTGAAGTTTATTTAATAAAATAAAGTGTGTTGAACACATTTCATTGAATGATCATTTAATAATTTCATGAATGTCTATTACGAAGATTCCGTCTGTTTTGTCAATGACCATTGAGGAGTTTTTTAAAATAATTCACACAAATAAAGTAGACATCTGTTTATAAAACACAATTACAATTGATGCATAAACCTTCATAAAAAATAAGGAAAAATGTCTATATAATATATAAAATAAATGTACATAATAATGTACATTTATATTTCTTCTTTATTTTTGAATTATTTTTTATGAATGTGTCATGTCAGAGTTTGTGATATTTGCAAACAGTAATGTATATTCTGTTTGAATTGGTATCAGACAATGAGTTTCAATAATTTATATTTAACCTGAGAAAAAAATTTTAGAGCAAGCATCACTTTTTTCCAATTGTTTTACGAAGGGGGTCTAGATACATACCTCTGATGTGATCGATGCATGAAAATACAATAAGAAGCAAATAAAATTTCTGTGGAACATAAATTCACATTTGATAAACGTAACTATCCTTGTTGCTCAGATATAATACAAAGACGAATCAAAGGCTTAGAAGAAAATACTCGTTTAGCTTCTTCTATTGTACATTGGGAATGTAGAGTAATGTAATGGCATGACTGTGATGAAGCGGATAATGATAAACCGGATTCCGAATTGGTGTATTTGATTGGAGGCTTTCACGAAATAGTAACTAAACCAACAAAATTATTTTCACTGAGAGAAACATTAACATTCATTATATCAATTAAAATCCATCTTTATAATTCATTTTAAGGATTATAATAAAAAAAGATTGTACATGACTCTGCCCTGACATACGATAGTTTCAACGAGTTCTTCATAATCTGCGAGGTAACGAGTGGCAAGTCCGTATTCAGGTGATCCATTCGTTTCAAAGGTGTCTATCGAGCTGGTAAATGATTGTTCAACGATAACCCACACAAGCTTTAAAGGAAATTATTTGAACTCAGCTCTGCACGTATTACCTGTGGAAAGGAAACTATAATGTGTCGTGTTACTTGATTTATTTGATCGCGTCGTAAAAAGAGGACTAATTTTGTATGCCACCTAACGGTAAAACTTCAGTCAGGCATCCAATTCCGGAAATCCGGAATTGTCCTCTTAGCTATGAAAATTGTAAAGTAAAGGTGATGGGTGCTGGGTTTGCGTAATTAATCGGTATAGGTGGGCCCGTTGCGGCTGCAGTGGTTGGTTATGCGGGTCTCGTAGGGGGCGCGAAAATCGGAAGAGGTGCCCTTGGACTGAGTTTCCTGGCTCACCAGTCCCCGCAGTTCCAACACGAGTTTCCCAGTCTCAGTGGACAGGCTTCCGTCTCCGTCTCTGTCTCCGTCTCCGTCTCCACTCAGAGCCAGACTCAACAGTCCTCGGCAACGTCCAATGCGATTCCGGTCGCTGTCCAGCAGCAATTGCTGGTTCAGCAACAGCAGCAGCAACAACAGCAACAGCAGCAACCATATTCCCACAACCACTCAGGTGGGATGCTGTGCTTGCCCATTCTACCTGCTAGACTTTTCGATTCGTTTCTGGATACATTTTCCTCCTCGTAGTAGTTCCTATTATCAGTGCCGGGGCTCATCTCTGCTCTTAGGGGAACGTCGAGAAGCGATTACGTTGACTGAAATTGAATGGCTTGTTTAACTATAACGGACAGACAAAAAGAATAATATGATTCTTCGTTTTTATCTAAAAAAAAAAAAAAAAAA